GATTCAACATCTACTCACACCATGACCCATGTTATCAGCTGATGGCTCATGCAACCCTGCGAATTGACTCTTGTGTTTCTTTTTGCTTGCTTAAAAAAATCTGTTGTTGCTGTTGTCTTCTGTTGGTTAAATGAAGATGGTACTGGGTCTTGCTCCTTCTCAGTATTTTCTGTATTCCACAGCTCCCATCTAGTTTTGCATTTAGAGCAACTGTGTAGGTCTTAAAGAGCTATGAAACAGAGCAACATCATGTTCACGTAGATAATGTGTGGGTGCAGATTGGAGTAGGGTTGTACAAAAAAGAACCCAAAACAAAAAAGAAATAAAAAGATCGATACTCAGATGCTAATTTATGCAGCAATTTAGATACTCATTTGTAACAGTATCAATACCAACAGTGCCTGTCTTCACATCCTCTACCTGAGGCACTTCACACAGTACTACTGGAGACAGGCAGGCATCATTATAAGTTAATTATATTATTCCAAGACTCTAGTTTTTATTTTTATTTTAGTAAATTAAAGTAATTATGGTTTACTGACACTAAACTAAAGATCTAGTTTATTTTGTAGTTCAGCTTAGTAAGCTATAATAATTTTGCATTTCACCACACTGCAGCGTTTAGCTAGCACTGAGAGATAACAAAAAGGCATTAACAGCACAAAGTCAGTGTAGAGCATTTGATTGTTTCCCTTTAGGGGCAAGATTTATGTAGATTTTGTCTCTATAGAAGCAAAGGTCAAAGTTACAAAGAAAAAAAAAGAATAATAATAATTTCAAATGATGTAAAACTGCTGAATCAAAATGATGTAATAATATATTTTGTGTGCTAGCTACATGACATTTGCTTGTCCAGTGTCATCTGAAACAGCTCTTTTTCAGGTGTTGTATAACACAACAAACTGGATGCATATGTTCAGTGTATCAATGAGTACTTTCTATGTTGTACTCATTTAAATAATGCTTCTTAATGTCAAATGATAATATTGACCAAAACTTTCTTCAGATGAAATATGTGAAGTGAAATATGTGAAATATGATGAAGCATGCAAATCCAGTTCTTGATATACTTGCAAGAAAGTGTGGTTATATGTTATTTTTATGAATTTAGCAACTTGGGGCAACTTCAGCTGATAAACCATCTTTTCTCTCCATTTTCTCTGCACTTTCTTGTCATCTGATGTCAGTGGCACCAGAGGAGTGTGTTCACTGTGAACTGTGTTGAGCAGTGGAAGAATGGGAACTTGCTACCATGCCATCCAAATGAAAAATTGTAATGAAATTTTTATGCTTCTTTCTTTGTAAGAACTATTAAAACCTGAAAACAAGGAAACTCTGTCTTGGGTACTGGATTTGTATATATGTGTGTCTGCGTGCTAAAGGCTATTTTTAACAATGTGTGCATGTGAAGTTAGGTAATTGGCTTTGTTACTATGTCCATGTGGGAAGTTTGGATGTGGATGTGTGTGCAAATTACCCAGGGGAAAATTTTCAAAATGCATGAACCCAAGCATAAAGGTATTTATCTGTCACACCAAGACCTATGATTCTCCCCCTCGTTACCCATCAGCCCTATCACACAGCTGACCCGGCAATGGTTACACAGCTGACTGAGTGAGTGGAGCGGCCTTGTTGAACGCTGCTTTTGAAGATGATGCAACACGATGGACAAGCAAGCTTTTGCTTTAAAAGAAATGAATCTGCTGTTTTATTAAAGAGCTCACTGCTTGCCATGTAGCGTGAAAAAATCCAGCCCGGGGATGGAAGTCTTGAGAAACACGATAAAAGACGGGATAAAATCACCTGAACACGACTTCAATATAGTGGCGGTACAGTTGATCCTGGGGTTTTACAAAGGAAAGAGACTGCGAAGTGTAAATGAGCACGCATCACACCTTTCCTGAATGCCGATGTTTAGTACTGTAGACATTTAAACATGTAAACAACTTCAGGCTGACGAATGAATCAAATCAATGTAAATGTATCAATTATTTTAAATTGCAACATCACATTTATGGAACTTGTATAACTCAAGCATCTAAAGGTGTGACATAATTGAAATAACCATGTGATAATAGGCAGAGGCTAAAATTTCACCTCAGTCCAGCTACATTAAAAGGCTATTCTATTCTATTCTATTCTATTCTATTCTATTATGGCTTAATTTACCACTAACAAGTTTCTCCTGTATTTCTAAACCATTTCTAGCATTGCACCATTTTATTCTTTGTGGGGAAAGTGTCCTAGCTTGAAAGAGCTTCAGACAAGAAGCAGACAAGAATGATTAGCTTTCTTAGCTACACCTAGTTTAGCTGTTGCTGCTGTTTTACTTCAGCTCTCTTGGCTGAAAAGACACAAAACAAAGAGTTTTTCTTTCCCACTGTATCCAACTGCGTGCTCATAGAGGGATTGTTGTGGCTTTAAGTTGAATATTGTTGTGATTTGGCATTAAATAAATAAAACTGAACTAAATTGAATGGGCCACTTTATTAGGTACACCTTGCTAGTACCTGTAATGGATCCCCTTTTACCTTCAGAACCGCCTTAATTTTTCATGCCATAGATTAAACAATGTGCTGGAAACCTTTTGTAGAGATTTTGATCTATATTGACATGATAGCATATAACAGTGGAAATTTGTTGCGTGTCCCATTCTATCACATCTCAAAGATGCTCTATTTGATTGAGATCTGGTTTCTGCAGAGGCCATTAGACTCACTATTGTGTTAAAAAAAAAAAAGCACTGTGAGGGGATTTGTGATCTATCCTAATGGACAAAATACAGACAATATTGTGTTGACAGTGCGTAATGTAAATGGTCAAATTTAAATACAAAGTGCCATAAACTACCAAAAGCCTGTTTCTGGTAACCCAAAATAATTTTAGAAGAATATTCTGAAGAGGCGAGGCTGCCGGACACTGGCGCCACCGGGCCCTCTGACCACCACCAGCAGGTGAAGTGTCTTGCCCAAGGACACAACGACCGAGACTGTCCAAGCCGGGGCTCGAACCGTCAACCTTCCGATTACAAGGCGAACATCGTGTCTCTAGAGTGGATTGTATTTGCATCACATTTCTACCTGAAAATATTTTATAGGCAGTATTATGTACTTTAAGACATGCAATGATTATTTTAATTGAAAATAGTAAGACACAATCACCTTATAGTCAAAAATCATAAACTGTCTCTCACTGTCATCGGTTACTACTAAAACAGACAAATGCACTTATCCAAATATCCAAAAGAGGGCATACTATAACCTCATGTGGCTGCCAAAAGCAGTCACCGATACAGAGTGCATGTCCATACTAATCCAGTCTGTGGTGTGCTTGTGAAAAAAATTACATTTGAAGTGAGATAACAGGAAATCTTAAAATTATAATAAATGTGATAATAATACCAAACCTAACTTTGTTTAACTCACCCACATCTTGCACCACATCATTATCTCAAATGGAGCTAAGGGGCAACAATACAAATATGCATTTAATGCCATATTTAAAAACACACGACTTACAGAACCAGGACTTAATACCACTTGTGTAATTCTTCACGAAGCATTGCTAATTCACATGACATTCTACATAAATAAAAGTTGTCAGTTGCTCAGCTTTACAAGGAAACCACACAACCCACTTCCTTGATCCATGTGGCTAAGATGGACTGCAGTGTTAACAGATGTAGAAACAACTGAAACCAAATGGCAGTTGTTGACCTAAGTTTATATTCATGTAGAAACCTCAAATCACTGATCCTTTACAGGTGGTCATCTAAACAGTGCCACGGTTTCAAGGAGGAAGCCAAATGTGAAATGGTCCCACCAGTGACAGTAAATCAGTCTCAACTCAGAGCTTTCCCCTTCAGGCCGTGAAAAAAAATCCACACAGACTGCTAAGAGCACATACAAACAATAAAAGCAACTTTAATGCTGATGTGTACAACTACATGAGATTGGAAGATGTACTTTATTACTGCAAGAGTAATTACAAAAAAAATAAAACAGGTTCTTCTTGTTCTTGTAAATGGGGTGTGTACTAACACATCACCTTTGTTCACTTTGAAGTGTAAAGAGCAGTGTAGCAAGAACTTCTGCAACACAATAGCATCAAATCAACCCAGCAACAAATCACTTGTTGGTTCCAGCAACTCAAAGATAAAGATTGCTGGATTTATTTGTCTTACTTTACAGTCATAAAAAAAAAAAGATTATCAGACACAGGAGACTCTGATGCACAGTACAGCTTAAAGATTAGATCACTAGTTAAAAAAAACAGCAGACATATTAAGCAGACAATACACCTCAGGTTGGGTATCAGACGCCACCTCTCTGGGGACACCTCAGGCCCTCCAAGGTTTGGAGGCCTATCTCCACCCACCACCACTTCCCCTGCCGGTGGCGGACTCCCTCAGGTGTCGGTGCGTTGGTGGTTCTTTGGGTCTGGGGGTGGGCGTCCAGGTACACACCGGCTCACTCCTTGGCGGCCGCTTATCGGGGCCTGGAGCCTGGGGCTCGCTTGGGCCCCTTCGGAGGTGGGGTGCCCCCGGCCTCTCGGCCTGGGGCTCGGTCACTCAGGCACAGCTGGGGGCCGGCGGAGCTCATGGGCGCATCACTGCAACTCCCCCTGGCTTCTGCTCCGCGGCTGCTGCTGGCTGCTTAGTATGTTGCTTTGGGTTTTTTTGCTTGTTTTCTATTCTTCTCTCAACAGGTGATCCAGGAGATTTTTTTTTCTCCCCCCCTTTCTCACTGTCCCTCTCCCCTTCTGTTTTTCCTTTCCTTCCTCTTTCTTTCTCCCTTTCCTATCCCTCACTCATGTCTGTCCCGTCTGTAACATCTGAAAATAAAATATAATAAATAATAAAAACAAAGATCGACCAAATGGACCAATACGGCAATGCCACGATGATCCATTTGGCAAAGTAAATCCATTGGGTATCCTTGTTGGTCTTCAGACAACAATTCTGATGGCTAAAGAACCAAATGGGACAGGCAGAAAAAAAAAAAAAAAAAAAAGACAATACACCACAGACCCATTCTGTATACCACACCCACATTCCCTGCCCTTAATTTCTCACAGTCATTTATTTAACCAAAACTATCAAAACACATTTCATATGTAATTATCATTGCACATTTTAGCCAACGGAAAATATATATAACTATCAGTTTTTCAATTGGAGATAATCTCATTACAAGTCTCACTCACAGAGCTTACAGTGAGCATAATGCATACCAAAATCCACAACATCTAGGTTTGCATTTGAAATTGATATTTTTAAAAATAAATTTGGAACTAAGCATATGCTAATGGAAAGTTTTAATTTGGAAATAACTCAAAACTAATCAATTCCTTAAAAAAAAATAATATCCTGTTACATTCCATGCAATGTCCACTGCACCTAAACTCAGTCTACTCTTTAAGCTGAGTGAACATACAACTATTTTGTAACTCTCCCAGATACTCTCATTTGCTGTTAAACTTGACATCATCAAACTTGACTATCTTTCCATCACGAGTTACCACCTCGGTCTGCTCCCATGAACCCATTTCCCCGTTTTTCTCCTCAAAACGCCGCACCACCACCCTCCCTGTCGTTGGCAGGTTGCAGGGAAGATCCTTGGCAGCTTCGTGTAACAACTTCATTTTCCTGAGGTCCTGTGCGAGTTCTGATCCACCTTTCGGCGCCAGATCGTGATTTTTGTTCTTGTCCTCTTGCCTCTGTGGGGAAGGAGGAAGGTGCACTCCAGTCCGAGGCAAAGGTTTTATCTCTGGTCTAGGAGAACGTTCAAATATCCGCCCTGTAGGCTTATTCATAGGTGACTGATGAATAAGCCCTGTAGGCTTATTCATAGGTGACTGATGTATGTCAAACTTGTTTAACGGTGATGGATCCCTGTTAAGTGGAGAAATACCTCGGTTTATCGGTGATAAGTCCCTGATTAGCGGAGATGCAGCTCGATTGATTGGTGATGGGTCCCTGATTGGCAGATGTGCATCTCTGTTCGGAGGTGATGGGGACTGGTTTCTGGCATTAAAGTGAGGTGTAGGTGGTTTAAGATGATCTTTTTGAATGGGTGTGTTGGTGACAATGCCCATTCCTGCAGCTCTTCGAATATCACTAATGACCCCGCCCATAGAGGCCCTCAGAGATGGATTCTGCTCCACCATCCTACACACAGCAGGGCAGTATGGTTGGTCCTTTAAAACATCCTTGATTTTGTCAGGACAGACGCTGGGTGTGTACAGACGAATCCGGGCACAGAGCTCAGCTATGATTTTTCCCATGGCCCAGACGTCTGAACGCTGATCTCTCTGGCTACCCCTCTGCAGCACCTCAGGAGCCGAGTAAGCCTCGTTCCCCATGTCCATTGCAGAGTTTAGACCACGTTTGAAGAACTTGGCCAGTCCCAGATCAATAATTACTGCTCTGTTCGTGTTATGCTCCACCTAAAGAACAAACATTGTTCAGCAAACATTAAATATTGACTAAAAAAATACACCTCATACAGCTTTATACGGTGGATGATGTGCAACCAGCTTCTGCTCAGAGATAGTTTCTCTGAAGAGTCTGCACAGAATTACCAGCTTTTCTATTTATTGATTTTTTTTATTATTTTTATCTGGTTCTGTTGATCTTTAGCTGACTGTCTTTTCAGATGCTTGTTTTGTTGTTAAAGCATTTTGTAATCTTGTGATTTTGAAAAGCAACAAAGAATATGGGATGGTGTTTTTTTGCCATGATCAGTTTTATGATACCAGCCACACGTATGTCTTTAAAGTTTTGAGACAAGTATATGCGTAACGAGCCATTCGTAGTTTCACTGTGACAGACGCATGTGCTTTGCCCTACATTACTTAATCTCCGAGACAACCAAAGCTTGCGTAAGTTGACTTTGACATTGCAAATAAAAAAGCAAAAAACAAACAAATGACAAAAACTTCTTTACCTACCAGAGGGATAAGACTTATTCAGAGTCGACATATGCTCAAATCTGCATGTTAAAAAGAAACATTGTGATAAAATCTAAATTTCCACTCACCATAATGTTTTCAGGCTTGAGATCTTGATGGACAATGTCTCTGGAGTGTAGATGAAGCAGCCCTTCACACATGCCGACAATGATTGTGCCTTTATTAGCTGGAGTCATCTGTGTGGTAAAAATAAATATGAGACCAATTTTAGGACGACCAGGGTCACATTGACTTTCATGCTTACCAGAGTTGGAAATCTTTAAACTACTTATTAAAGTGTGATATAAATTAGGCAATTGCATGCTAAAATACATAAAATGTTACACAACAGAAGATAATAGGTAATATTACAACAGCAATTGTTCTTGGTTTATACCCTACACAAAACACACAGCAAAGCAAAGGAGTCAGTCAAAGGGCAGTGGTGACCTGCAAACCATGCAAACAATTTTTCTTAATTTCAACTTTCATTTCTTTTGTCTTTTTTCTAGTAACCTCACCAATATTTTAGACTTTGACGCCTTGAAGATGGTGGTCTCCAAGTCCTCTCCGAAGACAAACTCTAGTGGAATGATCCATTTTCCATCTTTAAGAATTATTTTGCCCAGAAGCCTCACTATGTTGGGATGTTTTGCCTTGCTGCAGATCAGTGGTAACAAGTCATGGAGAAAAGAAGATTTTGACAAAATCAAAACAAAATAAACTGGGCGTTTCTTTTTCTAAAACATTCAAAACCACCTGGATCATCTAGCATCAGGTGAGGGAATTATGTGCAAACATTCAGGTTTTGATTCAGAGGCCACTAGATGAGTCAGGCCTTCAGGCCACTCTCATGAAGTCTGTTTCTTGTTGTATTGATCAGATTGATTAATCAGAGACATTCACATCAGTGGCCTGCTGAAGATCATTTTGTAGGACTCTGGCAGTGCTCATGCTACCAGTAGTGACACTGACCCTAGCTAAATGCAAAACTTGTGAAAGAAAAATTGGTCAATAATGCTAAAGAGGAAAAAGATGTCAGTGTCCTCCACCTGTAAAACCACTCCTGATTTGGGTGTTATCTCATTGTTGCTCCTCTAAAGCTGTTGTTAATGTCATTAATACTACAGCAGCTGAAACTGATTAACAACAACCTCTGCTACTTAACTGGCCATATCAATACCCCAGACGTTTAATTTACTTTATGCTGTACTCTTATTAAATAGTATTACTTTAATTTTTTAGCAGTTAATTAACACATAGTCAAGACCACCTGATGAAGATAAAACAGAGCATCAGAATAGAGAAGAAAGTTGATTAAAGTACATTTGAAAATGGGGTGGTTGGTTGATGGCAGTGTTTCAGAAACTGCTGATCTACCCCTTCTTTAAATGCCTTGTTGATATCAGAGGCCTAAGGAAAATGGTTCAAGCTGGCAGGTAGGCAACAGAAATTCAAACCATGAGCTTGCTTTGAATAAGTACCTGGCAAGAGTGGGAAGGGAAAACTCCCTTTTACAGTTGCAAGAACAAACCTCA